AACTCATCATATGCGGCATACTATTCTGCAGAAAACATCCAATAATAACTTCATGAAAATTCCTCTGGATGATTTCGAATAACAGCCGTTTCGACGAATCATAAATGAATGAACAGAATCACTTTTCAGGTGTTTCGTTTGGAACAGCAGAACCGAAACCGAAACCGAAACTACTCACTATTTGGCATCTTTGAATCCACGTACAGGAATATCATTCTTTCCGATATTCGCTAATGTTCCTTTGGCGTTCGTTTTGAATGCAGTTGTCGATACGACCACTGCCGGGAACCATTTACCTTTATGCGTTGATTCATCATAGGCGCCTACCACTTGCCCAACTTGCCATACTGTCTGAATACTTATTCAGTTCTCAATTGAATCCATTCATTATGAATTGGATACTTGCATGAGTCACATTTCCAATTCTATGATTCTGTGATGGTAAAATAATCCCAATCAATCACAAATGAATGGATATAATCTGCTTGATACTCTCTAATCATCATTTTAACAAAATCTTCACGAAAATCTTTATGCATTCGAAGAACATAAATAAACCTTTTTCGCTTTTTCGTCAGTTTTTTGTTTCTTCTTCGGTGACGTTTCTTCAGCAGACGCTTGTGTTTGTGCAGTTCCACCAGTGTCCTTACCACGCCGTCTCTTACGATCCAACAATCTTCTAGCACCACCACCAGCGATTCCGGCTCTTCCACCACTCCGTGTCGAATCACCGCCTCGTTTTGCGGTCGGATGCAACTCGTCATCATCGTCATCGTAATCATCCTCATCCGCCTCATCATCACTACTGGAACGACGTCGACAATCTAGTCGATTACCTTTACTCTTATCCTTTTGCTGACCTTTCGTCCCTCCTCCGCCAGCTTTTACCCCTTCACCAACCGTTGTTCGATTCGTTGTTCTCTTCGCCTTATGGGCAGCACCAGCCACCGCTCGGGTCTCCTCTCCCGAATACGGTTCATCTTCATCATAGTCTCGGTCATCACTATCCTCATCGTCACTAACATGACCGTTATTCTCATCGCTATCATCTTGCACATTCCCTTCGACGTCCTCCTCTTCCTCGGAATCCGTCTCACGCGCTTCTGCCTCAGCTTCGCGCTCTAGCGCTTCTGCGGCTGCGGTGGCCGCTAAACGTTTCTTACGATTGCGAGCTAACGATGAGCGGGCACTTCTTACTAACATACTATTGCCACTTTCGACAGACATTCGGTGTTGACGCTTGATAGCCGAAGCTGAGCTTAAGCTACCTGATGCAGCTGCTGGACCCCGTCGCCGTTTATTCATTTGCCTCGTTTTCCCTTGCCTTCCCAGTGGCGGTTGACGTTCTTGATCGCCTTCGCCCGCTACATCCTCATCTTTTTCCTCCTCAAAGACTTGGTCATCAACCCCTTCCTCTCCGTCCAAACTCGCATCATCTTCTGATTCGTCACTGACCACTGCCCGTGCTCGACTACCGGCTCTCTTGCCCGATCCCGTGCCCGCTCCGTTACCGCGGGTTGGTGGTGTACCACGATTCGCAGTCTTGATCGGGGTTGAGCGAAGACGTGGTGATGAACGCGGAGTGGCTGAATAGTCACGAAGGCGACGAGCCGTCGACGTGGATGCGGCTGGTGACCATGTCTTCTTATTACTATTACTATTGTTATTGTTATTGCTATTGTTGGTGCGATTCAATGTGGTGCTACGTGATTGCAACGATGACACATTGCTGGCATTCTGAGGGATGGCCGCTGTGCCTCTTCGAGAACGCCGTACTTTCGTGGCAGCTTTCGTCAGACTGCTTGAAGTCGACGGACGATTACTGACGAAACTCGATGAATCCTCACTATCATGTGATGAGTCAACGATATTACTTGTTGACTCGTCATCTGGTTGTTCTGGTTCATCGCCTTCCTCCATTTCGTCATGATCAA